TTACAGGGACCCAGGCTATAACACCGAATACAGACATTTGCAATATTTAAATATTTCAGTATATCATTAAAGGGACCCAGGCTATAACACCGAATACAGACATTTGCAATATTTAAATATTTCAGTATATCTTTAAAGGGACCCAGACTATAACACCGAATACAGACATTTGCAATATTTAAATGTTTCAGTATATCTTTAAAGGGACCCAGACTATAACACCGAATACAGACATTTGCAATATTTAAATATTTCAGTATATCTTTAAAGGGACCCAGACTATAACACCGAATACAGACATTTGCAATATTTAAATATTTCAGTATATCTTTAAAGGGACCCAGACTATAACACCGAATACAGACATTTGCAATATTTAAATATTTCAGTATATCTTTAAAGGGGTCCAGACTATAACACTGAATAGCGACATTTGCAATATGTATAATCCGTTGCCCATCAGTTTTTTTTTTCTTATGATCATCTTGTAACGGTCCAGAAACACAAGCAACATTTTTTACTGCATTTTTCAATGAATTAGTACAAGAAAAAGAGAATTCTTTAATGCTTGCATTCTTAATGTGTTTTTAATGAAGTGTTTTTAATGCTTGCAATACAAAGTCCCCATGATAAGTGGTCAGTCCCAGACGTAAGATTGAGTCCAGAACTTGGGTCCAGAACTAGTGGCTTAATTGGGATTACCCGTTGCCAAGGAAACTAGTGTAGTCACATTTTATCATTACATAAAAATAGTGTCTTGTCCTGTAGATAATTATCAGAGAAACATGGGAGTCTCTAGAATTGACTGCATAATGGCCGTAAAGGCTACAATCATACACTGAAACTATCAATAATCGCAGGCCAAGAAATGTGATCTAAAGGTCAAAGATGGTCGCATGAGAAGACGCCGTTTTACTTCAAGAGCTGAAAGGTATGAGGAGACAAGGTTTAACTTTGAGAACTTTGAGAAGACAAGGTTGAACTTTGAGAACTTTGAGAAGACAAGGTTTAACTTTGAGAACTTGAAGATTTGAGAAGACAAGGTTTAACTTTGAGAACTTGAAGATTTGAGAAGACAAGGTTTAACTTTGAGAACTTGGAGAAGACAAGGTTTAACTTTAAGAACTTGGAGAAGACAAGGTTTAACTTTGAGAACTTGGAGAAGATAATGTTTAACTTTAAGAACATGGAGAAGACAAGGTTTAACTTTGAGAACTTGGAGAAGACAAGGTTTAACTTTGAGAACTTGGAGAAGATAATGTTTAACTTTAAGAACTTGGAGAAGACAAGGTTTAACTTTGAGAACTTGGAGAAGACAAGGTTTAACTTTGAGAACTTGGAGAAGACAAGGTTTAACTTTGAGAACTTGGAGAAGACAAGGTTTAACTTTGAGAAGAGAGGGTTTAACTCTGAGAACTTGAAGATTTTATGAAGACAAGTTTTATATTGAAGATACTGGAGCTTTAGAAACTAAGGTGCGAACAATATCGTAATCCTAGTTATTTAATTAGATAAATTAAATAGTATTGTGAGTTATCTGGTATAGTTTGCCATAAAATATGAACAACTCACCACTGCAATTATTGATAACACGGTGATAAATTATAAAGGGTAAAAAAATGTAATTAATACATGATATTAAAAAAAAAACTCGTTCAGTGTATAAGTAGGATGCGTCATTTTATTAGCAGATAAGCAAAAAAAAAAAAAAAAAGAAAAACAATAGCGCACACAGACAGAGGATTGTAGTGGATTGTATGCATGAGGTTTGCAGACATTTAGCGAGTGGGTCTGAAGAGGTAATCCCGCACTAAGATGAGATGAGCTAGATGATATGTGTCATATCTGTAGATGTTGCGGCCTGCTCTCTCTCTACAGACACGCAGGATACAACAAAGTGTACGCAGCATTATTTAATTAGAGCAGGCACCAGTCGCTAGCTGTTTACACAAAAAAAATATCCAGCTACAAAGATAAAGAAGACTGTTTTCAAATATGATTCTTAACGGGAGTAATGAGATGTGACAAAGAAACATAAAAAAAGTAAAGCGACCGACTAGAAAAAAAAAGGTTAGCGTTAAGGCATACAGTGTAGAGAGAGAGAGAGAGAGGGAGGGAAATAAGCAAGTTCTTGTAGTCAGAGTTTCGGGTCTGTCTAGAGAGGGGGGGGTCGGTGGTGGAGTAAACATCACTGAACCAGCTTTCAGATCGACATCAAGAGGGTTGTAAGCAACTATTAGAGGCCACTGTGTAGAAATGTAGCAGATCCTCGCTAAACATCACCAAGGAAACTGGCACATTCAAGATGGCAAGGCGATCGATAAAAAAATATGAGCATTTTTTTCTATATGACCAAGAAGCTGATGGTAATAGATTTAAATCGCCGCTATAATGGATCATTCATTGAAGGTAAGGGAGAGTGGGGGTAGCTCCACAACAAAGCTCTTCATTTTGCTTTCATGCACAGCGCCAGCGTGTAGCGTCTATTTATAGAACTTGGAACAACTCGCAAGGTACTAGAAGCTTAATTCTTGCGCGAGTCAACAATAGGTCAGCTGTCAGCCGTGCAAATATCAGTTTACTAGTCTGTCTGTCTGTCTGAGCGTACAAGCAAACACGTGTAGTCTTGTGGGAATTTTTTTTCTCCTTCCTGTGACCCAAATTTAACAAACCCATATTTTTAAAAACCCTTCACCTGAAATCTTACGTAGTTGGCACTAAATTAGCTTTTTTTAATTAGGAACACACTTTGGCACATGTTCGCCTAGGAAAGTGGTTTCCGAGCTGTTCTTATTAGCCTCACTATAAACAACCAATTTGCCTAATATTACACCCCCCCCCCCCCCCCCAATATAGTTTTAAAATTGACACGCGAAAAAAACCTTGGATTTAGGTTTGATTTAACGGTTATCAAGCAGGCTTGAATGAATAAAACAGGAGCAACAATGAAGCAAAAGTAGATCCTCCATTGGTGTCTACCTGCTCAGTTTTGGCGCGGCACCAGTAGAAATTACTGGGAGGGGCTAGGCTAGGTAATCTAGTGCTTCAAGTAGAAGAGTCTAATTTATGACAAACAAGCATGCGTTTATTAGTCTGTGCTGCTGTCATACACCCCCACCCCTGTATTTCCTAAGCTTAGAACATGTACCACTCCGAGGAAGAAATGCCGGGACTTATGGACTACAGCTGATCAGAGCTTTTTATTTTGCAATTAGCCTCGCTCTGCTAAGTAATTAAGTCTCGGTCTAAGTCTTTTTGCAGCAATTAACATTTTTTCATGAATACATGGTAATGTGAAGCACAAAAAGGGCTGCCGTTATTTTTAAAAAAAGTGGCAGGAAAACAGATAAACTAGTTTAGAGAAAAGAGCAAATGTTTTAAAATACAACAATAGACGCATCACTACAACGACTGCATACTAAGTTAGATCATTTCTGACCTGCACCCATGTTAGACGCATCACGTATTATTTTCAAGAGATTTAATTATAAACTTTTGTGGCGTGATTTAGTTTGTCCTTAGCAGTTCAATACAGCATCCAAACACATTTACGTAGGTGAGATTAAAATTGCAATTTTTTTTATCAAGAAATACGATACATGCAACAATAATGTAAGTACGAGACAGACAATGAAAATATGTATGGCAAAAAGAAGCGGGTGCAAGCAAGTAAAGTGTCAATGAAGATATTATGTGTAAACAACATCAGACAAGGGTATGCCAAGTGAAATGTGTGTAGCTATGAAACAGCGCCCAGTGGCTCCCATTGCCAATGTGCGTGCAAACCAATCTGGTTACCCATCTTACCAGACATGCTCTTTAAAAACCCACGGTGGTGCGGCAGTTGGTAACATGCTAGAGCGATTAATGGCAACAGCCTAGGGAATGGCCCGGTGTACCCAATAGGTCTGTAAGAGGGACGGTGTTGTTTTTGTGAGCGTGCGTGTATTCGTGCATGAAATGTATTGCATTGATCGTGTAAACAGTGATTTATGTACCGGTATATTTTGTCTTTCTAACTCACTTGTGAGATACCTTTTTTCGGTTCTATTGAACACAACAAAAATGTTTTAAAAAAGAAGCTAAGTGTTGAGTATGACGAGGGATAACAGTACTAACACAAATGACTGTTTTAATACCACCTATACAAGCTCGCAATTAGCCTACAGCTACAGTCTTCATATGTTAGCCCTAACCATGTGCCGTCCCATGTGCTCAGATATCCGCAGGTATTAAACCAAAAGATTTTATCTGGACTAAGCGAGACTAGTTTGACTGTGAATGTAGTACATCAAGTGGTGACGAATAAAAACGTCCCGTGGCTGATACGGGAGGTAAATTTCCCGCGGTTCCTGTTGGTATAAAACAACGTTTAGCCCACGTGATAGCGCTGACGGCTGTGGCTCTGGTTTGTTTTGATGCCAACTGCGCGGGACTTGCCCTTTACTGGTGCACAAACATGTTGGCTTTCCTTCCCACAAAGATCAGATCTCCAGCCCAACTTGTACACTCGAGTTACTGCAGGAGCAGCCGATCAATGTACACACCGGCTCTTTGTGACACTCGCTTTCTTAACCTTCACGGCTTTAATGCTCCGTGCTATGGTTGGGTCTGACACATACTAGACAATACTTCACACGTGTAAAGCACGGACTAATCTATTTCATTTTAAGTTTTAAAACGAATAAATAAAAACGAAAGACAAAAAACATTGAACCTAAGACGTGAAATAAATGTTGTGCAAGTTAAGTGTGGGGTAGACACGTTAGGATTAGTGCGAATGTTGTGTGTAATAAAATAATCCGACCAGCCATGAACTGATCTTGTGAATGTTGTGTGTAATAAAATAATCCGACCAGCCATAAAATGATCCTGTGAATGTTGTGTGTAATAAAATAATCCGACCAGCCATGAACTGATCTTGTGAATGCTGTGTGTAATAAAATAATCCGACCAGCCATAAAATGATCTTGTGTAGTTGATAGCAAACAACGACTTACCCATACTGTAGGCAGCACCCAAGGCATTTTGTACCATGTAAGGATTCTCCATCGGTTGGTCGTGTTCTCCATCGGAGAAGGTCTGTTGACGCCGGAAATCAGTGTCTGAATAGTTGCCTCTCATGGAAGGTCCGAATGACCGCTGCCGACTAGGCGCGGGGCTTCTCTGCGGAATGTCCTCAATTGGTGGGGGTGGGGGAGGTGGGGGGAAAGTTGGTGGAGGCATTGGCAATGTTCCTGTCAAGAAAAGTACAAAAAACACATTAGGTAATTAATAAACATAAAGTAATAGAAAAAAGCTCTAATTATACATAATGTGCCGTGCCAAAAGTATCAAGGTTCCAGAAAATACAGGTGTAACCAACGCTTCAAAAACTTGCCCCGTGTTATGATCGCACCTTAACTTTCAGGGCAACTGAGTCGCCGTGTCTCTTTAAAGTCTCGATGAAAGTTAGTAGTGAAACACAATAAGGTACTCCTGTCTAAAGAAAACTATCCCTAGATCGATTTGTAACTTTTGTTTAGTTAATCCTTCAAACGTGGCCACACACAATGGATTCTCGAAACTGTGCCTCCTGCTTGCCACGCCCTATCTGCGCCACTGGGTCTATTTCCGTTGTTCCTGTTTTCTAGCCGGCACGTTTGGCAGCCAGTGGAGAACAATGAAAATAATGTCCTTGGTTTATAAGATTATCCGCCACTCGTCTCGCTCTACTCAAATGCACATACCAAATGTACACCATTTTTATGGGACAGTTTAAGTGTTGTGGATGTTTTTTCTACTACATAAAAGTAGTGATAGCACGACTTACGTTACTCTCTTAGTAGATATTTCAGCGAATGAAGAGATCCATTAGAGACAAGATGAAAATAAATGGACTTGATTCTTAACATTCTAGAACTATGTATGCAAAAACATTTTTTTAAAAATGTTTTCTGTTTTTTACGAGCAATGATCTTATTGTTTAAAAAGTTCCAAATCTTTAACTGATCTCAGCTTGTTGGTTTTGTGTGATGTTTTTACTTGTATTGTTATAGTAGTCTAAGTGTAGCCCATAGCAGCCGATACCAAACTTTCTGAAAGATGGTGAGGGGGTGGAGGGTGTTGTCTGAACTGCCCAGGGACCAGCGTGTGCCCATGAGGTAAGAGATCCGGTATTTGGGGTCTTATCTGACCTGGATTTATGCGCCAGTGTCAGTGCTACACGTGGACCGCTCAGCGAGCCAATGAGAAGCACGGGCCTGTACAATGTCTAGTAAAGCTTTGGCTCAATGGCTTTTGTTGGATACAGGAATTATGTTCTCTATCTTCTGGTACCGCTACAGTAGAGAGTAGAGATGGTGAAAGTAAAGATGGTGAAAGTAAAGATGGTGAAAGTAAAGATGGTGAAAGTAAAGATGGTAAAAGTAAAGATGGTGAAAGTAAAGATGGTGAAAGTAAAGATGGTGAAAAGTAATGTTGGTAAAAGTGAAGATGGTAAAAGTGAAGATGGTGCAAATTGAAGATTATTTCAACAGAAACTTCTGCACCATCGTACATAAATATCCATTATGTAAGCGACATTGGTGTGTTTTACAAGACATTAGTTCTGATCTCCTATTAATTCCTGCTAATGTTGTTCCGCTGTTGCTAGGATATGAATAGTTTTCAGCCCAATAAAATATGTACAGGCAGAGAAGGCTAAATGTTCCTTATAGTTCAATAAGCGATAGATTATACACAATTATGTTTTGTTTTTAGTGCGGCGAAATTCTCAAGGAAAGCCCCCTATGCCAGTCAGCTTACAATGGCTCCAGTTTTTGGTCTGACATTAGAAGATTAGCGGTTACATTTAATGACATTAAAAATGTACAACCAGATTGTAATTTCAGCGGCTGGCCCCAGCGGTGTCTTTGGCCGTATTTTTTTAAAAAGGGTCTTTTATCGACGCCGTGTTGACTCACGCGGTGGCCGCTCCACAAAGGGTCGATTAGAAAAACTTGGGGAGGAAACCAAGGCAGAGGGGACAACAGCTGGGTTGGCGACTACAGGATAAGCCCACACGCTCAAACCTTTTTTATATCGCTCTATAACATGGGCTTTTTTCTATCACTCTATAACCTAGCTTTTTTACATCAACTTATTTCCGAGGCTTTTTGTATCACTTTATAACATTGGCTTTTTTTCTATCACTTTATATCCTAGGCTTTTTGTATCACTTTATAACATTGGCTTTTTTTCTATCACTTTATAATCTAGGCTTTTTTATATCACTTTATGTATCCTAGGCTTTTTATATCACTCTATAACATAGTCTTTTGTATCACTTTAAAACCTATAATCTTTTTGTATTACTTTATAACCTTAACCTTGATTTGTATTATTCTTTAGCTTACAATGACTGTAAAACCGTAGCCTTATTTTGTATTATTTTTAGCTTACAATTACTGTATAACCTTAGCCTTGTATTATTCTTTAGCTTACAATGACTGTATACCCTCAGCCTTTTCTTCTAGCACTGCTGGGGCAATGTTCTTCCACAGATAACACAACGGGTGTAAATACAATTAAAGCCGCGCATAAATATTAAAGAGAACGAGGAATTGCGAATATTTGATTAAAATTGCATTTGATACTGAATTATTTTCACCCCCCACTAGTGTCCTGTCCTCGGCACTCATGAATAATAGGATGAGCGCATGGGATGCATACGCGTGCAGCTCTCGTGGCTTCGACCCGCGCTGGACATTGGCAGATATGTTATTGGACGACTTGCAACGGTTTGGTTTCGTATCTCAACAGCTCTATCAAACTTCTGTTTTAAGCTCAAACTTCTGTTTTAAGCTCAAACTTCTGTTTTATGCTCAAACTTCTGTTTTAAGCTCAAACTTCTGTTTTAAGCTCAAAGTTCTGTTTTAAGCTCAAACTTCTGTTTTAAGCTCAAACTTCTGTTTTAAGCTGAAAGTTCTGTTTTAAGCTCAAAGTTCTGTTTAGATACTCACTTCTATCAAATTCCAAGCATGTTTTAAATAATATTAAACGCGAGTTAAATTGAATAAACGTGCATCTAACTTTTCAGGCCATGAACAATGAATATATTTTTTTATATCTCTTTTTAATTTGTTTGTATTCAGTGAAGACACGTTCGTTTAAAAAGAAGAGGGTATAGAATTATTTTCTTGAGAGAATGAACCATTCACTTTCCAAAAGCCGAAGATAATTAAAATAGTTTTAATTGAGCTGTGTGTTAATGTGCTGCCAATATGCACAGCTTGAAGTTAGCTGAACAGTCTAAAAAGACACAGCGGAGCGGAGTATTCAGCAACAATGGTGTAGGTCGTGTGGATCTTTGCCGCTGATTGCTTGTGGGAGAGAAAATTGTACTTGGTCAGGTTGTCTCCCGTCAATACTGCGTGTATAGACCCTGGCAGAGAAGGGGCAGAAATCGATACGATCAAATGCTATTGAAATGAATACCGGTCAAATTGACGACAGCAAACTGTTCAGGCTAGAACGGTAATCGCAAAGATGGGAACATGAAATATATTTAATTTATCTGGCACAAGATTTACTAGACTGTCAAGATATAACATGAAGTTTATTTTATATATCTGACCCATGATATACAAAACTATCAAGTTATAGCATGAACTATATTTTAGTTATCTGACTCAAGATATATAAAATTATAATATAAACCGAATCTTTAGGTTATAAATTTAACAACCAACAAGTTGTTTCAGCGAATCCCTAATTGTTACCACTATGCTAGTATTAACGTAACATATAGATGTTGAGAAGAGATGTAGCGATAAGCAAAAGCTCTATCAAATAACAATAGCATTTTTGCGTGATCCTCACCATGGAGAATATCAATCACGATGACAGATGAGAACCGTGCGGCATACATGAAAGACAGATGATACAGCACACATCGTCCACATCATACAACCGACGTCTAGATATTTTTGTGCATACACCCAGCTGAACTAGGGTAAGGAGCGCTAAAGGCTGGGGGATTGTGGGGAATAATATGGCCTGGGTCAAAACAAATGACTGGGTAGAGGCTGGTGGGATTGTGGGGAATAATATGGACCGGGTCAAAACAAATGACTGGGTAGAGGCTGGGGGATTGTGGGATTGTGGGGAATAATATGGACTGGGTCAAAACAAATGACTAGGTAGAGGCGGGGGGATTGTGGGGAATAATATGGACTGGGTCAAAACAAATGACTGGGTAGAGGCTGGGGGATTGTGGGGAATAATATGGACTGGGTGAAAACAAATGACTGGGTAGAGGCTGGGGGATTGTGGGATTGTGGGGAATAATATGGACTGGGTGAAAACAAATGACTGGGTAGAGGCGGGGGGATTGTGGGGAATAATATGGACCGGGTCAAAACAAATGACTGGGTAGAGGCTGGGGGATTGTGGGATTGTGGGGAATAATATGGACTGGGTCAAAACAAATGACTGGGTAGAGGCTGGGGGATTGTGGGGAATAATATGGACTGGGTGAAAACAAATGACTGGGTAGAGGCTGGGGGATTGTGGGGAATAATATGGACTGGGTCAAAACAAATGACTGGGTAGAGGCTGGGGGATTGTGGGGAATAATATGGACTGGGTCAAAACAAATGACTGGGTAGAGGCTGGGGGATTGTGGGGAATAATATGGACCGGGTGAAAACAAATGACTGGGTAGAGGCTGGGGGATTGTGGGATTGTGGGGAATAATATGGACTGGGTGAAAACAAATGACTGGGTAGAGGCGGGGGGATTGTGGGGAATAATATGGACCGGGTGAAAACAAATGACTGGGTAGAGGCTGGGGGATTGTGGGATTGTGGGGAATAATATGGACTGGGTGAAAACAAATGACTGGGTAGAGGCCTGGGGATTGTGGGGAATAATATGGACCGGGTCAAAACAAATGACTGGGTAGAGGCTGGGGGATTGTGGGATTGTGGGGAATAATATGGACTGGGTCAAAACAAATGACTGGGTAGAGGCTGGGGGATTGTGGGGAATAATATGGACTGGGTCAAAACAAATGACTGGGTAGAGGCTGGGGGATTGTGGGGAATAATATGGACTGGGTCAAAACAAATTACTGGGTAAAGACTGGGAGATGATGTACAAGTTGGAGCACGTTCAGTTTAAGTTGTGCAGCATGTCATTGTTTTTATCAATAACAAAACCAAGTTTGCTAACATTCCAGGCAACAACTGCTACGTCAGTCAGACCCTCTGAACACGTACTGTTAGTAGCTTTTATAACAAACGTAGAGCTAGTAGCCCTTTGAACACGTACAGCTAGCAACCCTTAGAACAAATTGTTCCACCTCTAGCAGGTAAGTGCACACCTATTCTAAGAGATGCCAAGACAATATTTGTATTCATTTTTGACACATCTATCAGTAGCACATACGTCACCGAAACCTTTACCTTCGCCAATCACTCACCTGCGTGATGTATTTTTTAAACCGATCGTCTCTCATTACAAGTTGTACGCGCGACAACACAGCTCACGAGCCAATTAGTAACCAGCTTTTGTTTTTATGACGAGCACAGCTCACAAGTATGCGCTCACATACACACAACGTTGAATCAAACCGGCAAGGACGCCGACGGTTTTATCTGCACCTCTAGGCATTAGTCATTAGTCACTCAAACTTTTTATTTTTTGTTTTCCTACTAGCATACTCTTAAGAGTTGTTTGCTAAAACGAATTTACGATAACCTTTAACAAAAATTTACTTTAAATTATCTAAATTCCTTCATTAAAAGTTCACGAAGCGTTAACTTTATAAATGCTGATAAGCACAAGATACATGTAGCATTAAGTAAATTAACATTAATTTTGTTACTTCCAGTGCTAAGGAATTAGAAAGTTATATCCGGGCAGGATGAACGGCAATGCTATAGTTACTATATATATATATATGTATATATATATATATATATATATATATATATATATATATATATATATATATATATATATATATACACACATTCCTATATGTACATATATACATATGCATCGAATCTGAAATAATATCAATCCATTTCTCTTATCGATAGAACATCCCAATCTTTGATATGCAGCACATGCATTAAGCTGGTTATTTATTTATTTTTGCCGATGTTAGACAGCTATAAAATTGATCAGTTTCCCTGCGGGCAATGTTGACTTGACAGAATCAGGATGTCCAACAGATACAATCATAGATAAGGAATTATGCACAGTTAAACAAAATTATGCCAATATAATTCGATGCATGTGCATGTTTGTGCGTGTGTATGTGCATATATATATATATATATATATATATATATATATATATATATATATATATATATATATTTGACGTAAGCTGTGAGTTGATGACTCAATGGACCACTTGGTACTTGACTATTATATTGTAACTTTGAAAAAGTAACAACCTATTAGAGTTGCTGCCGAGTATGAAGTAGAAAAAGTTGTGTGGATAGAGTAAGGACTATGGGAGGTGTTTACCTGCTTGGCTGTATCTCTGTAAAGCATGTCTATTGTCCTCGTCACTCTCCGAGGTCTGGGCCGTCCTGTGTGCTGACCTCATCTGGTCAAAGTTAATGTGATCCCACGGGGGGTCGTAGACAACGTGCTCGTGCTGGGGGTGAGCTGGCATTGGTCGCTGCTGCTGCTGGTAGATGGATGGCCGTCCTTGGAGCGGGACCCGGGCCTCTGATTCATCATCGGACCCATAGCTGTATGCACGACCGCCAGACCTCGAGTTTTGTTTGGGGGTGGACTGGTTCGTTGGCATAATGGGGGACACGGCGTGCTCATTGGGGGTTAGACCTTTGGTGGAGGAGATGGAATGAAAACAATTAATGCAAGAATAAACAAGTTAGCCGGCAGGCTTTGTTGTTTCACTAGTACCATGGAAAAATATCTCCGACAATGCTGGCGTGCTTTTAGAAAAAAGTGATGTATACTATCCACATGGCGTGTTACTATCCTTATGGCACCAATTATAAATTTAATTTAAAAACAAAGCCGTTCTCTACAATATCAACCGAACACTGAATAATGGCTAATTTCTTTTTAAAATAATTTAAATTAAAAAATTCTTTTTTTTTAAATTGTGGTAACCATGTTCCAAAATGAACAAGTTTGGCGAGTCTGTGTAGTATAACGAACACCATAAAGCATATGTTGACCTTATTTAGTTACGTGTCACCTAACTCGACTATATATTGACTGACGGAGTGGATTTATCTCCTGCCAATTTGTGCTCCATGGTAATAGCAATATAAATATGGATAGCTCTAGAGACATAGGTGCCAGATTGGATCATCCCCAAATATCATCAGCCTAATGGACCCGTTGGCACATATTTTACTACATTTTAGACTGATTTAAGCAAGTACTAGCTTATAGGGCTAATACGCCTGAGAACATATTTGACCAATGTTGCAGAGTAATGCAAGTTAAACATAAAGTCGACTTGGAAAATTGAATCATGCAGGATGAACGAAAGTTTACAAGTTGTGTGGCATTTTAGAGTTTCTAATAGTTTCACATGGTAAATACTTTCTTACTGGATAAAATTAAAGTAATTTTAATACATTCAAAATATGAATGTGGTTTGTGGAAAATTATATATAACTGTATGGGATAGCAATTGTGTTAGGAGTTAATCACAATGATTCCACACTGACAAATGACGTTAACTCAAACTTAAGCATCATAATTAAAACAATAGGTGTATAAAAAATAAGGTAGTTTTATCGCGGTTAGGTGTAGCCCTCCCCTCCCCACCAGCCCACCGATGTTAACACAGCAATTTGGTGTTGTCTACTCCAGCCTGAAGCAAGGAAGAATCAAGCGAGTGGAATGATACATACATTCCCGTGTACTCCGGTATTGTGAAACCTTGGATTCCTGAACGTCTGGAGAATGTTTCCAGCACCGTCCAGAACTTGGAATGGAAACAAGGCTGTATGCATTAACGCCTTGTTATAGATATAGACCCAGCCAGGCTAAACAAAGGTAAATGTGACTTCTCATTCAACTTGTTGTCTCCCCCTGGCTAGACGAGTGACGGGCTTTTTTGTTGCCACTTTGGCTCATGTTATGGTGAAACTCTACGCCAGTTAACTAATCTGTAACATGTGTTGTACAAACAAAAAATACACAGGGAAATTAAATGTTTGGGTTAGTCGGGGTAAGTGCTGGCTCAAATACATCAAAGATATCAAGTTCATTCAAGGAAATATATTGATTACAATTAATAGAAACAAGAACTCCACAAAGTCTACTGTAAGCAATGTCTCAAACATTTTTAAAAAAAATGAAACCGTGAATTAATCTGTGCTATAACCTAATTGTTAGAAAACTCCATTGAAAGATTTCGTCCCAGAAAGCAAAGTAAAAATGTAGACTGTAATAAAATTCAATTAAGATAAAAATCGCTTCAGCATTCTGTGACCCTAAACATCAGGGAATAAGTTTTCAATTTTCATACTTGTATCTGATAACAATACAAGGGAAAAAATCCCCTCGTCCCCCCTGAGAATGTTTTTTATTGTGGAGATTCCGCGGTATCAACGGATTCACTTTCGTCTTGGATCCTCCACAGATGTAGTAACACAAAATGTTTGAGATTACAGCCAGCCTAGGGATTTCAACACGACTCCAACAAAGGCGGGGGCCGCTGGAATTTTACAAGACACTGACAAGAGACAAGAGAATGTATCACTTGGGTAATTCCCCGGGCTCCTGTCACAAGATGGCACGTACACAACTTGACCTATAAAACTTGGGTACAAATCGTCTGTGGGGTACGACCGTTTAAATATACAATCAGTACCTCAAAGGCGGGTTTATATAAATATACTGCTAAACTAAACCATTTGTGACAGGAAATCATTTTTTAAAAACGCGAGAGAGAGAAAAGTTAAGTTGCATTATTTAATTTTTTTCTTCCAAAAATGTGAGTTTTTTACTTTCTAAAAGACATTTTTGTTCCTGATTTAGTTGCTGATAGCAGGTGGTCTCTGCGTTAAATTATTATAGACTGACACACCGGAAATAACCTTTGACGTAAGCCTGTTTGTGTTTAAAAATTAAGCTGGCAATAAGAGCTCACCCCGATACAAAGGGAAGACAATACAGGAAAGTAAAGAAGCGCTGGGTTGTAATCTTATGCAACACAGGAAATGGCTTAATGCTAGGTAAAGAGAACAGGAAGCAATAAAATTGGCTAGAAGTTAGAAAGCGTTTGATTGGAAGTTTCAAATATACAGTAAGCCTGCACTTTAAATGTAAACTGTTGCTTTAAAACTGACACCTGCCGTGTCTAACTGTTAAGTTACTTAATATAAAAAAACGATTATTAATATGAAGTTAACGTGCCCGTATTCAGTATTTAAGTTTATCGTAACGAAGGTTATCTACATTTGAACGTTACTGGCCTCAAGTTTTTGTACCGTCTGTAGTTACCGTGCTGCTAGCTAATCGCTCTAGCAGATGAACTAGATTGACGGGGAAATAAAATGTTTTCGGTTCACCGCCCGTGTTTATGTTCTTTTTAAACCGAATGGCTTCCTGAATGTATTTTAAAGATCAATACTAGCAGCTACTTGCTAATTAGTTGGACCGGGAAGTCAGGATGTGGTAACAAAGACAGTTCCTATGACAAAATGAAGACAACACAAAGAACTTGGTGGGGGGAACACGATCTCTAGCTGTAATGTAAAAATAGGGTACTTATAAAAATAAAGTTTTTAATACAATCCTTTGGCGACTTCCGATTGTTGTGGTAACAATAGTTTTCTTACAGTGTTTTAGCTTCAGGCCAGTAGCGACATTATGGGGCCAATCTCGTATCCATAAAGCAGAACACGCGCACCATATTTCTGCTGTAGCATAGATAAGTCTGTAAGTCTACAGAGGTGCAGAAACATATCGGTACTGGATTTATCCTTGGATTACTGACCCCTGTCATCCTGTACCAACCCCTCTGTGTTCAGCTACATGATTTAGTTTTTTTCTTAAACCCCGCACGAAATGAGAATCTTTGAAGCTGACATCCATTGATGTGAAGATGGGTTTCTGTGTGGGATCTACTTTTCTATTGCAGTTATCTAGCCAAGCTTTGAGCAGACAATAAACTCGGGAGCGGGTACTTTTGTTGGACACGTTTGTTGGTTGACCTAAGCTCATACATCTCTTTCTCAGCTCATATTGCGTGTCTGTGGATCTGCTTTGTATGCCGGTTTCGAAGCCGGAAATTGTTCCCGTGGTTCCCAGCAAAGTGTCATACGGTTGTAGGGAACTGCGGAAAAGTGATGATTGATTTTCGTTATTTGATTCTTGCTTACGGGCTGGTAGGGGCGGAGGGGCAGGCACGGTCGCTGCTTATTGCATTTTCAGTAGGCTACAGAGATGAGGGGGAGTAGCCTGGCCTGCAGATAAAAACATGCAGATTTTAGACTTCTAAAGACAGTCCAAATGTTGGGAAACTTTAGTGCTCGCAATTATAAGACAGTTGAATGTAGTTCAATTGTTTGTGTTTTATTACATTTTCTTGAGAAGCATATTGCAACAATACACTTTACCTAAAGTATGCGTAATTTACGAATACATTAAAGGATAGTTTTTCATGTTGTTATAATTGATGAACTCATAGTCTCAGGTTTAAGGGATTAACTGGTACTTACAATTTTGAAAACTGATAGTTTCTGTGATTAATGAAATGCAGATAGTTTCATGTGATGTTTGTTTATTGTTTAGTTAAATAAGAACATATTTTTACGCTGACGTGGAACACAAATCTACACCCAAACCAACAAACAAGTATTTGCACTTGAACTCATTAGAACACACAAACACATATTTTTTTTCTCACCTAGTCCAATCAATTTTTTGTCGTGATGGGCGACCTTGACCTCCTCGTAAGGTCTGAGATTGTCGTCTGAATGGAGGTCCTCGTCGTCAGAACTACAGGTCTGACTGCCTCGATTTTTTGTGCGCGCCTTTTTCGATGAGCGCTGAGCGCTCGGGGCTTGGCGTGCTGACCTAACGCTTCCCGAGCCAACTCCATTGGCCAGAGATGATGTAGCAGGACTGGAATCCATAGTGCATTATTATGTTGTCGTCATGATTGTGCCTACCATCGATGTACATCTGTAGAATAGAATCAAGTCACACCGTGTCAATCTACTGCACGTATTTGTGCCTGGAGGACATAACAAAAACATGGTCCATTATACTTCTTTCTCAAGGATTTTAAATACATTCAACACTACAATGTGGAAACACTCATTCAAGCTAAGCCATCGGTGTTTCCTTACGGTCAGTGAGATTTAATTTCAGTCCACTCCACGCAATCTGTCCGGAATAATAAAACAACTGATAGCCCACACATGTGGGGAAATTTATCTGGCCGTAAAAGTGTCTCAATGTAAAACTTCTAGAATCCTGATTGTTGGGTCCTGTTTTAGCAGGTGTTTGGGCGGTGTATACTAGCATCAGATGGTGGGCTGGTAGGGTGGGCTGGTAGTGTGGGCTGGTAGTGTGGACTGGTAGTATGAGTTGGTAGTGTTGGCTGGTAGTGTGAGTTGGTAGAGTGGGCTGGTAGTGTGAGTTGGTAGTGTGAGTTGGTAGTGTGAGTTGGTAGTGTGGGCTGGTAGTGTTGGATGGTAGGGTTGGATGGTAGTGTTAGATGGTAGTATGGGTTGGTAGTGTTGGTGTATACTAGCATTAGCTACTAGCATAAGATATTGTGGCAGTAGCCTCTAGACGAGGAGCACGGCTCTGTGTGAACTATTTGACCGAGCATCGCCTGACTTCGTGGCCAGTACTCTCTCCTGGAGCATCTTATCATTCACGTCACGGAAGACGCTGACCTAGTTTCCATTAAGTGATGGGCTGAAATCATGGGGACACAAAAGTGGCAGTGCCAGATTAGATTTGATGTCCAGCTCAGCCAGGCGAGCACAAGGTGGGGGAGGAATTAAACCCCAGCAGTGGAACTAGTCAAGGTAATGAAAACCTTTCTTGTTAGGGAGATAGATATGGAATTAAACCCCAGCAGTGGAACTAGTCAAGGTAATGAAAACCTTTCTTGTTAGGGAGATAGACATGAAATTAAACCCCAGCAGTGGAACTAGTCAAGGTAATGAAAACCTTTCTTGTTAGGGAGATAGACATGCACAGTGTTTAGGGGGAGGGGGAGAGACATGTTAGTGGTGTGTATAGTACAGGGTCTGGGAGATAAACGATGCTTATGTATAGAAGAGTTCTGTTAAAACATTGTACAAGTAGGTCTAGGCCCCATTCAAATGAATGTGTATGACCGTCAATCAAATTGTGCAAGTAATTAAAATAAATAATGCTATCTGTCTAGGACTGTCTATCAACAGAAAATAAACAATTGTAATTTAGCCAAATGTTATGAGCTAGGCTAGTGAGTGCAAGGCCTACAGGGGCCTTTCGGTAAAGAACAGAACGTTCAGGATAGGGGGGCCTAGCTATGTAAAAATAATATCAATGCGACTTTTAAAAAACAAAAAATATTTTGGTAAGGCTTGGGTGTTGGTTTAATAAAATCAAAATATGAAACCTTTTTTTTTAATTTATTCGTTACAAAACAAGTGTAAAAAAAGTTGAATTATTAAAAACTATATTTCAAAACAAAAAGCCTACTTTTGGTGCAGTGTTGAAATGTAAAGCTTTAGATTTTAATTTACTTGTGTTAAGCCAGCAGTAAAAAAACATTTTTACAGCCTATATTGAGGGAAAACAAAGACAGTCTTTAGCCCGTGCTTAATGGCCAGCTTAAAGATTCTTAGTGTCAATGTTGTCTACAGAAAAGACAGTCAATGTTCTCAGGACTGTAACTACTCTATATTGTAAATAAAATTGTTGCCGCTGTATAACACGTCTCACGTGTAGACCCCCTGGGTGCTTAGGTGTTGTTATAACATCTAAGGTATGAGGGGGTGTTGTTATATCCACGGTGATTTGGGTGTATGAACCTAGCACTGACAGGTGTTACTAAATTCTCCCTCCCACCCCCCTCCACCACCCCCACACGAAGGCGCGATGTACTAAACCAGTAAATGTTCAAGATCCACCATCTTTTGTTGAATGAAGGAACATGAAGCTTGCCACCGCGCGGTGTTTACACTTAATATTCCTAGAGGAAGTCTAGAGTTACATACATCTTCCACCTGAGCTGGTGAGCTCAGCACGCGCCCCGTGCAGCCCATACTATCGGTATCATAGCATCCAACAATGCTTGGTAAGATGATAGAGCTAAAAGCCTAAATGGTGCCGTCTCTTATCCTCATAGCTTTTACAAGTGTTTATAAGGGCTTCAGTGTGTCAGAGGCTAATCATTCGACTACAACATGCATATTTTTTTTTATATCAACAGCCAGTAAGTGTGACACAATTTTACACGGGCAAATAAATGCTTTAAAACAAATATATTTTGTTACTGTACCTGTAGTTAAATCCTATACGGCCTTATCAACTAAAGCTGAAGAGATGCTGTTATATGTTGATATCCTGCCTTGTCGGCGTTGTGTGAAATTCAGTCCATCCCTGGAAAAAGTGAGAATAAATTTGGTAAGAAATCAAAGTGAACTACAAGAAACTCAATTCTATTTTTTTATCCTGCTTTTTAGATACATTTTTTGTTCTTTGGTTGTTTTTTTATTGTTCGTTTGTTGTTGTTTTTTTTTTTACTTTTTGCTCTTAATTTTCACGTTAGGTGTGATTCAAATAAAAAGGATAGAATAAAAACACTAGCTCGCTTATTTATCAAACACTGACAGCTTTAAACACGCAACGAAAGTTCCTGATAGTAGATTTTTTTTTTAAATTGCTTAATAGTAATAGCTTAAAATTCCTTCACTTTCTAAACCGCGATAGCTTATCAACAAATAAACAAGACAATATATTATGTTCTTTTACACATCCCCCCCCCCCCCACACACGTGATGAGTTTCAATGATGCAACATGACGCACACACAGGTAAGGCTGCGCTACTTGAGAACTCACATATCCTATACCAAATTTTAGCAAGTCGTCTCAAACACATTTAGTTCTTAGCTACTGTGGGGTTTTTAATACCCCTGGGTCTAAAAACGATACACCGTACTTCTTATAACATAAACAGACCGATGTGTGTTACGGTTTATTGTTAAAACATCTTTTAAGAGTTTAAAATGTATAATCGCTATGGTTGGTATATTCAATCCACTAATAAACGGTACATAATTAATTAACAACCTGTTTATATACATACACATATATAGGCCTCATATATATGATGAATGAGAAAAAAAAAGTATGTCATTCGTTAGTATAACAAATTGCAATATGTGAAAATGCATAATCAGATTTAATGTGTAAATAATATATCAAATATCATGTTTACTTTAATGCAAGCGAATATTATGTGTCAGCATGTAAAACACGGTGCAACAGATGATAGCCATTGTAATGTCAACCAGCTGTATGTAATTAGGCGTGTCTCATAACATAAGACAATTAGGCCACGATACGGCTTTGACCTTTCATGCACTCTCATCATTAACACTGGCGGCGCTTTGTTGGGGTTAATTGCAAGGTTCTGACTGCGCTCAACAAGCAAGCCTCGATTTTACGATCGTAGACTCGCATCAACTGGCTTTTACACACAAGTACACCAGAACACAGCAGCGCTACATGAGACGAGGAAAATTAATCCATTTCTATTCTAATAGACTTACATCCTGGGAAAGGATGTGCGAGAGATAAGGGAATCTCCAAATCGCTTAAGGATTGATTCAGACTAACAAAAGATAAATAAATTCAGCTGCGCCTAATGACCTATGAAAGACAACCATGACTAGAGACGGTGGGAGAACGCACACAAACAAAATGGTTTTTCTAACCTTAAGTCGACGCTTTCTTCCAGGGGATTCCCAAACCCATGTAGGTCGGAGAGCACGTCAAACAGGTTACGTTAAGGTCAGCTCTACCTATCCTATGTGGAGGTCCCGCACTCCCCCACAATAAATACGAACCAACGTAGCTAGCATTTTATCGCTTTCCTGCGTTTCTCGTACGCCTTTAACCCACCCGGGTGTATCTTTTGTACTGCCATGTCAGTAGTGTCCCTAGCACTACGTCAAGACACGGCCTAACGAATAATGACACACAGCACACACAATTATGAATAGATTAAAGGAGAGTACTTCATCTTTATGGTGAATTATTTTTTTACTGAACCATTTTAGGAAGACGATGAAATTCATAAAGAATACCAAAAAAAAAAATCTTTAAACCTCAAAAAAACAAAACCCACGAAAAAATTTCTTTTTGGGTGTAGGTCTTAGTCAGGACCAATAAGACAGAAATAATGTATGAAGGATTTTTTTTTTATTGTAAGCACATAAGAGAAATATTTAAAAATAAATATTTAATTTTCTAAAGTTATAATGTTTAGTCTTTCCGTAAATAACAAAAAGATGTATAATACTCTAAAACAATTGTTTAACTGCACGTTGAAAACATCACGGAAGAAACAAAGATGTAGAGACCTTAAAGCCATTGTATAACGGCAGGTCGGTGCACAAGACGTGCCAATGCTGCAGTTAAACAAGAAGGCATTAACTATTCGGGGAATAAATAAACATTGGTATCACACAGGAGATCTCACACGGGGCTCAACATGTCACTAGCAGGTGGCGCAGTCAGCACTTTCATAGCCACATAGCACTTTCATACCCACATAGCCAGTACTTTCATACCCACATACATAGCCAACACTTACATACCCACATAGCCAGCACTTTCATACCCACATAGCCAGCACTTTCATACCCACATAGCCAACACTTTCATACCCACATAGCCAGCACTTTCATACCCACATAGTCAGCACTTTCATACCCACATAGCCAACACTTTCGTACCCACATAGCCAACACTTTCATACCCACATAGCCAACACTTTCATACCCACATACATAGCCAGCACTTTCATACCCACATAGCCAGCACTTTCATACCCACATAGCCAACACTTTCATACCCACATAGCCAACACTTTCGTACCCACATAGCCAACACTTTCATACCCACATAGCCAACACTTTCATACCCACATAGCCAACACTTTCGTACCCACATAGCCAACACTTTCATACCCACATAGCCAACACTTTCATACCCACATACATAGCCAGCACTTTCATACCCACATACATAGCCAACACTTTCATACCCACATACATAGCCAGCACTTTCATACCCACATACATAGCCAGCACTTTCATACCCACATAGCCAGCACTTTCATACCCACATAGCCAACACTTTCATACCCACATACATAGCCAACACTTTCATACCCACATACATAGCCAACACTTTCATACCCACATACATAGCCAACACTTTCATACCCACATACATAGCCAGCACTTTCATACCCACATACATAGCCAGCACTTTCATACCCACATACATAGCCAGCACTTTCATACCCACATACATAGCCAGCACTTTCATACCCACATAGCCAGCACTTTCATACCCACATACATAGCCAACACTTTCATACCCACATAGCCAGCACTTTCATACCCACATAGCCAACACTTTCATACCCACATAGCCAGCACTTTCATACCCACATAGCCAGCACTTTCATACCCACATACATAGCCAACACTTTCATACCCACATAGCCAGCACTTTCATACCCACATAGCCAACACTTTCATACCCACATAGCCAGCACTTTCATACCCACATAGCCAGCACTTTCATACCCACATACATAGCCAGCACTTTCATACCCACATACATAGCCAACACTTTCATACCCACATAGCCAACACTTTCATACCCACATAGCCAACACTTTCATACCCACATAGCCAGCACTTTCATACCCACATAGCCAGCACTTTCATACCCACATATCCAGCACTTTCATACCCACATAGCCAGCACTTTCATACCCACATAGCCAGCACTTTCATACCCACATACATAGCCAACACTTTCATACCCACATACATAGCCAGCACTTTCATACCCACATACATAGCCAGCACTTTCATACCCACATACATAGCCAGCACTTTCATACCCACATAGCCAGCACTTTCATACCCACATAGCCAGCACTTTCATACCCACATAGCCAGCACTTTCATACCCACATACATAGCCAACACTTTCATACCCACATACATAGCCAGCACTTTCATACCCACATACATAGCCAGCACTTTCATACCCACATAGCCAGCACTTTCATACCCACATAGCCAACACTTTCATACCCACATAGCCAACACTTTCATACCCACATAGCCAGCACTTTCATACCCACATAGCCAACACTTTCATACCCACATACATAGCCAACACTTTCATACCCACATAGCCAGCACTTTCATATCCACATAGCCAACACTTTCATATCCACATAGCCATCACTTTCATACCCACATACATAGCCATCACTTTCATACCCACATACATAGCCATCACTTTCATACCCACATACATAGCCATCACTTTCATACCCACATACATAGCCAGCACTTTCATACCCACATAGCCAGCACTTTCATACCCCCATACATAGCCAACACTTTCATACCCACATAGCCAGCACTTTCATACCCACATAGTAAGCACTTTCATACCCACATAGCCAACACTTTCGTACCCACATACATAGCCAGCACTTTCATACCCACATAGCCAGCACTTTCATACCCACATAGCCAACACTTTCATACCCACATAGCCAGCACTTTCATACCCACATAGCCAACACTTTCATACCCACATACATAGCCAACACTTTCGTACCCACATAGCCAGCACTTTCATACCCACATAGCCAACACTTTCATACCCACATAGCCAACACTTTCATACCCACATAGCCAACACTTTCATACCCACATAGCCAACACTTTCATACCCACATACATAGCCAACACTTTCATACCCACATACATAGCCAGCACTTTCATACCCACATAGCCAGCACTTTCATACCCACATACATAGCCAACACTTTCATACCCACATACATAGCCAGCACTTTCATACCCACATAGCCAGCACTTTCATACCCACATAGCCAACACTTTCATACCCACATAGCCAACACTTTCGTACCCACATACATAGCCAGCACTTTCATACCCACATAGCCAACACTTTCATACCCACATAGCCAGCACTTTCATACCCACATAGCCAGCACTTTCATACCCACATACATAGCCAGCACTTTCATACCCACATAGCCAACACTTTCATACCCACATAGCCAGCACTACTGATCATACCCACATAGCCAACACTTTCATACCCACATAGCCAACACTTTCATACCCACATAGCCAACACTTTCATACCCACATAGCCAGCACTTTCATACCCACATAGCCAACACTTTCATACCCACATACATAGCCAGCACTTTCATACCCACATACATAGCCAACACTTTCATACCCACATAGCCAGCACTTTCATACCCACATAGCCAACACTTTCATACCCACATAGCCAACACTTT